GTGAGATGGCTTGCAGTCGACAGGACTTCCGATGGATGAAGACTTTGGTCTTTGGTTGTTGTCTCCACGACTGCATTCAATCAGGTCGGACGAGCGCTGTGCCCTAATCGGTGTGCTGCAGCACAACTAAGTTTACGTAAACTAAACCGACAGGGTGGGTTTGGCAATTAGGCAGGGCTCGGTGTTGCGTGTCTAAGAAGTGATATGGTTTATAGCGTGAAAGTTTGGCTAAAGTGACACGCCGGAGTTTGATTGATACCGGTCAAGTCACTTCATGAGGATTCGACCAGCAGCCCGAGGCATAAACTAATGCAAGAAGTAAGAGCGAGTTTGAGGTGAAAATGCTTTGTCGACAGTGAGCCCATGTCGGAGCGGAGGGAGGAGGAAGAAGAATTGGCGGCTAGCAGGCATTGATGTGGCCTGGAAACGGCTACAAGTGCAGGACAGAGCTCTGCTGCAGGCTATGCTCTCGACACGGAAAACGTTGAGATAGTAACGGACGTGCGGAGGTTAGTAATATATTCAAAAGTCGACAAACGGACCAGCGAATGCGCTATGGCCATCCCGACCTTGGTCAGGCCGAGACTGTGATCCGGCCTAGATGAAAGCGCACTTTTGGAGAGCATAGAGTAGAACTTGACGAATGGTCAAGGTCGAGGCCTATCATCACTTCCTCGTTGACAGATCAACCGTTGTCCCCTGGACCTTCGATCAATCACTGGTGCCTCTGCCCTTTCATACGAGGCGAACTAAGACAAGTGTCGCTCTCTTCATTTCACTCTTTGCATTCGCCCGATTGTCACTTGACCACAAGTCGAATGTGACTGGCGCGGCTGGCAAAAACGAGTATGCCTGGGACTCGTTAGAAAAATCGGCCCTCGAGTGTCAACGGAAAAGAGTTCTAGCGGAAGGCTGCTGTCTACTCAAGACCCCCAGTCCATTGGAGACCAACTGGGAAGGCATTTTCTCTATAAGTGTTGTATTCATCCCATTTCGTCTGAGGTGATAAGGAGACTAACAGCTGCATTATCCCACAATGATATGAGTAGAAGTGGGTTGACTTCGTTGTCGCAACTTGGTCTTGTTGTCAGGGCGACTATGTAGAACGCACCTAGTCCGAAGTCGTCTGCTGTAGTAGTTGTCATAACTCCCAGCATCAGATAGTGGACTTGGTACATTTTCAGACGTTTCGCCGGCATCGTAGTCGGCACAGCGACAAGTGAAGTCAATCCCTCAACAAACTCTCTGCCGAAAACGGTTACACTTTCACTCCTCTTTCTGTCCTGGCCCATCTATCTACTCTTTACCCTCTTCTCCCACTACCACCCTATCACAACTTCTCACTTGTTTACAAGCATGACAATCACAGTCTAGGCGCTCTGCTCGGTGAGGCGGCAATTGTACATGATTCTAGGGCCTTGAGAAATAACGCCTGGAGTGAAATGCACACGGGGACCGGAACCGAGTGAAATCGGTCAACCGGAAGGAAAAGGAACGGATCTACGAGACAATGAAAGGATTCGTATCGGAGGTCCGAGTCGGATTAGCTGGTCAAAAGGGAGGGGTCGGGGTGAAGAGCAAGTGTGATGAGGTCACACTAGATTTGCCAAAAAAGGGCACACATTTTGACGATTGGAATGTAAACAAGTGAGAAGTTGTGATATGGCGGTAGGTGGATAAGAGAGTAAAGAGTAGATAGATAGGCCATGACAGAAAGAGGAGTGAAAGTGTAACAATTTTCGGCAGAACGTTAGTCAAAGTTTTGACTTCACTTGTCTCTGACACGTTCTTAGCTTGGTGTGGCGAATGGCAGAACTCAGTGATGAGGCCGACTACGATGCCGGCGAAACGTCTGAGAATGTACCAAGTCCACTGTCATGACAACCACTATGGCAGACGACTTCGGACTAGGTGCGTTCTACTAAGTCGCCCTAACAACAAGACCAAGTTGCAACAACGAGGTCCACCCACTTCTTTAAATCGAAATGAGACTGCGACCATACCAAAGGCCACAACATTTTGGTCTTCATATCTTCGATATGAGTAGAGTTCATGTTTCCCTTAAATTTCACATTGCTTTGCCTACCAAAAAGGTATTCCCATTCAGACAGGAATGGATTGCAGTTTTGACGTTGCTTCATTGGTCCCATCAGCACTCCCAGCGAGACTCGAACCATATCATTGTAGCATTTAATCTTGACACATTAATGATTACGCCACACTAATACGAGTACCCTTCGGTCACAAGGCAGATGTAAATTTCACCAAAGGCCAGGCATTTTCTATATCACATTCTTAGGTGGGATTGTCGAGCAGGCATAGCAATAGATTATGTTACTCAATTTTTGTTTTATAAATAGTCTATTCGCAATCTTGAGAGCCTGCTTATAAAATAGAAAGCCAAATTATGTCGTTTATTGCTATAGCAATAGACAATAGCTATTGCTTCACCGACACTGCCCCCACAGAATGTGATATGGGAAAGTGTCCGGTCTTCCTTAAAATTCCCATCTGCCCTGCGACAATGTGGCCTGGTGGTTAACGTGTCGAGATTATACGCTGCACTGTCATAGTTCGAGTCCTGCTGGGCCTGAGAGCGAGGTTCATGCGAGGTCGAAACCGCAGCTAGTCCAGCCCGTTTGAGAAGATCCTTCGGGAAAGCAAGGTCATGCGAAAGATGATGGAAACCTGAGGTCTACTCAGATCATTGTGGAAGAAGGAAACAACCAGTTGGGCCCTACAATCCACGCAATTCCAAGAGGAATAGAGCTTCTGAAAGGATGTGATCTCAGGCATGAGAGCTGGAGATCCGCTTGGTAGCGTTGTATTGAGAAGACGTCAGTTAACTTTTTCGACCCTAACTACCCTTAAATTCCGTATGGATGGGTCAGGCTTGGAGCCTCGATGCAGGTCTTTTGCCTCTGCTTCTCACCGCAAATCTCTCATCACACATATCGGGTCTGCGAGGGGTTGCCTAGGTGCGATAAGGATCCAGTTGCCTTCACTACAAAAGAGGCTTGCCTGCTCAACAGCTAGGATCTATTCTTCATCTTAAGCCATTTTTACTAAGGATTGTTGATCTCCCACGAAGCGTACTTTGAAAGAGTTTAGCAGGTTGCCACATCATGATATCATGATCCTTTCAAAAAGGCCTGCCTTCCTCAGGTAGATGCAAATGGGAGCAAAGTCACTCAGTGCACATCTCGACTTTCCACACTTGACCCTGGGCTATGCTCGCTGCCCACTGGAATTTGAGTTGGCGCCAACAGCAGCTTTGAGCCGTATTCTCTTCTGTCCTGGAAGGCATCTTTCGATAACTCGTCTCTGCTAGGTGGAACTTGAAAGACGGAATCACAACATTCCTCGAAAAGTGGAAGGACAGCGCAGCAACACCAAAGTCAGTGTGGCTCATCTGGGGCTGGCGTCTTGGATACTTCTAAAGAAAATGCAAAAATGTTCTTTGTAAATATACAATTTATGACT